AAAATTTGAGTGAAAAATGTTTATTGATCTGCATTAGGACCAAACCTCAAGAAGCTTTCCCTTCACTTCGTGTTTTAGTCCACAGTAAAATATTTGAAAAATAACAAGCATGCTTACGTGGGGCATGAATTGGTCAAATTGGGCAAGTTGTTACGATTCATAAATTTTCTAGAGCAGTGCTTGGTTTCTGAGGTTCATCACAACAACGTAAATGAAATGATGACCAGAAGTGTTCGAAAAGAATCCAAAATTGTATGAAACAGAGAAATCGACGACGCGCGCCTTGCTCTTTTATAACTTCTTACGGCTTTTTCTCATGTTTAAGCGTCAGATACTTTTGAATTATTTAGTTGGGCAACAGTGTATTTTGAAAATTAGATAAATGTAACCGCTATGGTTTGTTGTCTGCGAAAAATTAGAAACCATCTATGCATAGATTCTGAATAGTACAAAATATTTGAGCATAATCTTTCCTACAAATGCAAATGCCGGATATAAGAAATGTTAAATGAGATACAGATACCCAGCAGCAACTTATGGTGCTAAAGGATTAGCAAGAATTTGCCGAAAATTTCTCATCAGCTATCAAAAAATTTATTTAACAGCAATGATGCCGGAAGCACCAAACAAATGCACAGATGTTACTAGATTTCCTGGTCCCCTGCTAAACTCCTCTCTGTTTGCTTTCTCCAGAATAGTCGATCTTTCAGGAAATCAGAAAAAGGACACTTTCCTTTGAAGTGCTGTTGTGCTGAAAGCAGGACGTACGTGGAACCAAAGTGAAAAACAGCTACTGGATATAAAAAAGTGACGGAGCGCGTAAAAAGCAACAGCGGAATCAAACGGCCCCGTCAACTAAGACACGTGTAGGGTATTGCCACACTCGCAACGCTGAGGAAAGTTGAAAAACCGGCTGGGCTTGCCACGTTCAAAACAAAGAGGCGCAGCACCACATGCTAAACGTGAAGATGAGAAAGGACAACGCAGACTTGTCCCACAAAAACGATAAAGGGTTAAGTAGTGAGGATGGCAGATGATGGACGCATGGGCAGCGCAAAATGAGAAGTTCTGGACTAGCTGCACTGGACATGTGGTTTCTCAAGTTTATTGTCTTTTCATGCTGATGGACGATCTTGAATCTGGGATGCAACAGCTTCGAACCGTTCGAACAACTACATATAAGAAATTAGTCACGGAAGAAGTATGCTCTGCACTGAACGGAGACGGTGCACTGGCAGATCGGCGGTCGGAAAGGATTTGCTAGCATTAACGTACACCGAAGATGAAATGCTGGCGTAAAAGGTATCAATATATTTGTTGGCTTGTGCACTCCAAAGTACAGCCTGAGTACAGAGTAAATGTATTTGATGTTGTGCTTCTCCAGGCTGTGCTGCTAGCCGCCACCGGCGCTTCCGAATGTACACTGTGCAAAAAGATTTGCTCCTTTGACGAGTAATATTTCATAAAAAAACATTTTACTCGCAGACAATCCGGAGAGGGAGGCAGACGGATTGCAGCGAAACGGTGTCAGTTCTGTGTCCAGATCGCGAC